TTTACTCAGCTTCTTACCATATCATATAGTTTGTTTCATGGTTTACTCAGTTTCTTACCATATTGTATAGTTTGTTTCATGGTTTACTCAGTATCTTACCATATTATATAGTTTGTTTCATGGTTTACTCAGTTTCTTTCCATATTGTATAGTTTGTTTCATGGTTTACTCAGTTTCTTACCATATTATATAGTTTGTTTCATGGTTTACTCAGTTTATTACCATATTCTAATTATCATCTGCACCATTAATTCTTATTAAAATATATCTAATTTGTAACTGACTTAAATTAAATTGACAATAATTACAATTCACCCATGTAATCTGATTTATATCCTAATAGTTGTTATTCATGAGAAGTACTGATATATATATATATAGCTCCTATGCCTGTTGTATGCCAGTGGGCCTGATGAGCTGTGATACAGGACAAAAGGGCTTGTCAGTGTTGATGACATAAAATATTTTCTTTTGTTGTCTCTCGTTCTTAGAATTAATGTAGGTTCTGATTTACTTTGTTTTGGAAACCTACCTAATTAGTATAATTAGACATAATATTGATAATAACACATGAAATATTGGAAATTTGTATCGTTTGATTTGAATAACATATGTATACACCCTAGATTAAATTTGTGAGTTGGTTGTTTTTTTTATTATGTATGCAGAGCTTGATGGTCATGTAGATGATATGTCCAAGTCACAAAAAACATCTGGAATCATTCGTTTAAGTGCCATCAAGGAGATCATTGAAAAGGTACCAATCAGATATCACTGTTTGTCAAGTTATTATCTGTGATTCATATTAGAGCTTTAAGATTATGACAACCAAGACAAACTTTGGTTAATATTTGGTAAGATAAAACTCCAGTCAGATTACAACTTTTTTATAACTGACTCAGATTTTAGAATAATTCATGAAATCTGATTCCATATGTAACAAAAAATATGTTATTACTTGAAAGTCAATAGGATTTGTTTTAATAAACCCTCAATATATCTTTTTGTAAAAATGTCTGATACGTATATGTGTATACACATATATATGACTAGTTATGATCCTGTTCAAGGGTTGATAAGAAGGTATAATGTGGTAAGCTTAAGAAATAAAAATGAGCCTTTTTTTTGTTTGTTTAGGATGTTATGTGTATTTCCAATTTGTCTCGTTTTTATGCTCCCACCTTGAAGCACCACAGAGCGGGACATTTTGATTTCCTCTGTCCATCCGTTCAAATCTTGTGGACGGGATATCTCCAGATTGGATTAATGGATTTTGACCAAACCTATAAAACATGTACTACATACAAAATTCTAGACCTGATTAACTTTTGAATGTCAACATCAAAAGGTCACTGGTACATCGAAAATCATTTTCCTCAACCTTATGGACATGATATTTCAATACAGAATGAATGGATATTGACTGAACTTATACAATAGGTACTACTAAATACAAAGTTTTAGACCTAATTAACGTTTGAAGGTCATGGGTCAAAGGTGAATGTCAAGCAATTGGGTAGTCCTTAATCATACATTATAACCAGTGAAGACAGGTGTTTCATAAGCATGGCTTGCACTTGTTGTCAGAGTTTTTACTGAAACATTTATTGTTATTCAAATGTTTTACATAATGATTTTTCTTATCATGAATACACATAATGAGTCATTCCCCTGTCACCTTTTTCTTCAACAGGGTAAACACACTATCCTTAGTATCACTCCAAATGCTGTGGATCGATTAAACTATGCACAATTTTATCCAGTTGTCATCTTTATGAGAGCAGAGAGCAAACACACTGTTAAGGAGCTGAGGTCAAGAGTCTCAAAATCAAACAACAAGAGCTCAAAAAAGCTGTATGATCACTCTGTAAAACTGGAGAAACTGTGGTCCCATGTGTTTACAGGTAAACTCCTGTAAGGCCATCAATAAATACTAAGGAAATCGTAGTAACTGTAGATTTAAAATGTTTGAATTTCTTACATAGTCAAAAGTAATCATTTTTTATTTCTAAAGCATAACATAACTGTTTTTCATTATCAAATAGAATTGTAATGATATAAAAGCATGTTAGTAGAGCATATTGTAATATAAAATATGACATAGAATAAAAATTATGTAGTTTAGTCATAGACTAGACATTTTGGCAACTTTTTATTTTAATGCTTTTAATGTTTCATGTTAAATGTACAAGAGATAATTCCATATGGAACTATAAAACGTTTTTTCATAACTATTTTTAGCTACTATAACCCTAACTGGAGCTGATATGTGGTACAAGAAATTAAGAGAAACTATAGAAAGACAACAGCAACAGGCAATATGGGTTTCAGAAACAAAGGTAAGTTTGGATAGATGAGTTTTTCTATTAATCATTACTAGAAAAATCACAGCAAATAGGTGAGTTACTTTTGAATGAAATTTAGTCAAAGACTCAATAAGGTAAAAAAAATGAAACTTAAATAGTTAATATGTCACAAATCAAAGTTCTTATTTATCTTATGGGCACCCCCCAGTGGCACAGAGGTATGTCTGCAGGCTTACATTGCTAGAAACTGAGTTTGATACCCATGGAGGGCAGAGCACAGATAGCCCATTGTGTAGCTTTGTGCTTAATTACAAACAAACAAACAAATCTTATGGCCATAAAGAAAAAAGTAGTGTTAAGTGTACAAATGTAATGCAATGGAGATTAAGATAAGGTTGTTAATAAAAGTATGTATATTTTTCAAATTCTTTATAAATGTGTGTGTATTTTATAGCAAAGTCACATCGGGATATCTGCTGATTTTAGCATTGTAAATCTGAAGATTTACTGCTGTCACACCAGGGACTGTTTATAAATACAGGTTCACTGTCGTGAATAAAAGACAACTAAAAACACTATACATATAAAACAAGGATACAATGAAATGCAGATATGGATGTGGAAATGAACACAGAAACATATATATTGTAATGGAGAACAGATGCAAACTTTTATTTGTTTTTACAGACACTAACACAAAATATTGAAATGTGGGCATACACAAAAATTTTTAGTAACTATCTTTTACTTTTTATCTATGAAATTGATAAAGAATATTTTTTTAATAATATATACACCATTTTTATTGATATATACACTCTTAAAACATTAGGGAAAATTCTACTTAGATTATATTTTGTTTATTTTTATTGGTTTAGGCTCTATTTGATTCTTTTCTTTAGACTACTAAGACTAATTTTAGATTAATTTGAGAATTCAGTTCAATACATTTGATTTCAATGAAGAATCAACATAATCTGTAACTTCATTTTCGATATATTAATTATATATTTATATACTAGCTGGAGTATCCGTCCCCTGGACGGAAG